CCGCCCATCCGGACCGGACCGGTAATATAATAATAAATATAATCTATTTTATTTAATTTTTATTTTTTTAAAAAAGAAAAATCCTAAATCCCTAAATTAAACTTAAATCGTTCGACGTTTACAGCCTCACATTGAGTTGAGAAACACATTCTTTCGCTTTCACATCACGCTCACTCTCACTCTCACTCTCTCACTCTTCTTGGTTGATGCTTACCTCACCGTCTCTGACTCTCCATTTCCGTTTCCATCTCCGTCTCCATCTTTCCGTCTCTATTCTTGGCTAGTGGGACCGGTTCCATGGAGCCACCTGGGAACCGGACCGCTGGTTCTCGAGTGAGTCCATGGAACCAACGGGTGGTTTCCGGTTTCAATTTTTCGAAACTGGTCTTTAGTGGGTGGTTCCCGACTCTAGGGTGGGAACCGCCTACCTAGACCAAGCTCACTCCTACCAGCAACCGTCGCTAAAGGTTGTGCGAACCCCGGCGAGGGCAATGTAACCCCTGGCCTCATTGCCTGGGGTTGTACAACCCAGGCAACCGTCGCTTGGGCAGTCGTGCGACCTCAGCCGATGATCACCTGGGTCGTGCAACCTCGCCGACTCTTCATTGGCCTCTCGCCAACCCTTCTTCGGCCCTCACCTACCGCCCTCATGCAAAGAAGATAAATAGAAACAACAAGAGGCAAAATCGAAAAATTTAAGAATTGATGATGGTAGTTTTGAAAGAAAAAACTAGTTTCAGCATGTACCAAAATGCTAAAAGCCCAATGTTGATCCCTACCAGCATTGGGCTTTCAGCTTTCTCAAGGCCAATATTTAGCCGAAAACCCCTTGGGAAGGCTTACCAAACACCTCAACATTTTTCCAATGAGCTTTGGAGGCCAAAAGTTCCTTGGGAAAATTGAACCAAACACATTTGTAATGGCCACAAGGGGTTACCATTTATGAGATCCATACTCATGATTTACACTCTCTAAAAGTGTAGTGTAGCACCAACTCGACAATCTGTCAAAATAGTTCAAGGGAGTTCGTACCAAAACCAAATTTCGGAGAACTAATTTCACTACTTTTCCTGAGATGAAGAATCAAACTGTGAACACCCTCATGTCATCTGAGAGAAACCAAATAATTGCACCATGTGCAAGGGTCAAGCATTTATTTTCCTTAAACTCAACATAAAGATTTTAGATGCTTTCATCAACTTCTGAAACTCCCATCTATGTCTTTCAAGTTAAAACTTTCAAAGTAAAGGAGAGAGAGTTTCCATTTGTTTATAGGAGATTTAAGGATTAAGATCTAATGCAGCTAGTCACATTGACTAAAACAGCCCCACTCTATATGAAAATTTTCACAAAACCCTAGAAAAGCACTTGCCTTCGAGCCACATATGTCATATCACACGGGAAAAGTGTCACAAAAGTCATAAACCTTTGGCATTGGTGCCAATTTAGTCATAAACCTTTTTTTTTTGCTAATTCAGTCCTAAACTTTTTGCATTAATGCCAATTTAGTCATAAATTTTTTTTTTGTGTCAATTCAGTCCTAAACCTTTTGTTTTTGTGCCAATTCAGTCCTTCCAGCGCCGGCGTCCACTTCAGCAAAATCCAATCAAAATTAGCCGAAATGACTAAATTGGCACAAAAACAAAAGGTTTATGACTGAATTAGTACCAATACAAAAGGTTTAGGACTGAATTGCATCAAAAAAAAGTTTAGGATTAAATTGACACAAATGCAAAAGGTTTAAGACGTTTTTGATACTTTTTCCCCATATCACACTTATGACATCAGAGTCAAGCCTTGGTCAGTGGCTTTTGTCTAGCAAATTGCCCCAGCATAGGCATGATGTACTTCTCAAGTTCTCAATATTCAGGAACGAGAGATGCCGAAGGGGAACTTCTGTCGTTTAACAGTAAGGGCTTAGCTTTGAAGGGTGTCACTCTGGTTGGGCCTCCCCTCGACACAAGGCATCATCAAACTCCATGGATGACGCAGCTTCCTTCGCATTTCATGTCTCATCTGCTCACATACGATTCCTTGTTCCATTCGTGTCCGAAACTACCGACGACATATGTTGAAAGTATCCCACATTGCTTGAAGGTTTATATGCTCATTATATACATATGATCTCCCTCTACTTATTAGTTAAAGTTTTTTGTGTAAACTTTTTAATATGATATCAAAGTTAAATTCAGTCCATTTCGCTCAAATTTCGTGTAACGCTCCTGATTTGACTTGCGCACGAAAGAAGTGTTGAAAATATCCCATATCGCCTGTGACATTTGGGTTTTTATATTCTTTGTATTCGTATAGTCTCTCTATTTATTCATTTAAGTTTTGGAGCCCAACTTTTCAATTAAATTCAATATCAGTGGCTTGGGGACTTTAAAAATTAGAAGACCACGAAGTGGAGCTCTTCTTATTTTTAAAGCTGGGACCATGTGGAGTGGACTTGGAATAAGCAAGGATATCAGTTGTTTCTTGATCCCACATGGAATGCCAGAAGATTGAATTTTTCTATGTTTAAAAAGGTCGAAGATAGCTAGACTTTATCCCAAAGTCAAGCATTATAGAAGAGCAAATAGTGACATATACATATATAATAATAATTTATCAAGATTTGGAATCCTAAACACTTGGGGAAGATGATGGCAGGTGAGGCTTCCTTCACGTGCCACAGAAACCACGTCTTAATAATTTATTACTCCAAACATTCTTTCCAACTCATTGCCAAAATGGAATCATCTCTCTCTCTCTCTCTCTCTCTCTCTCAGAGTATCATCATGAATCTTAAATAAAAAAATTGGGGCAAAATTTATTGTGTTCTTGAAGAACCCCCAACCCCTAATTTCTTAAATTGGAGCAAAATCACCTTATCAAATTGTGGGTTGAGAAGTTCACACTTCACGGTTGGGAAATGTTCAAAGCTTCTTAATGATGTGATTTCACCGCAAAGCCTTGCCTTTAATCCGCCACTCGCGGCCTCATCGTCATGGCAAGGCCTCCTCTTCCTGCTTCAAGCCCGAAGAACCCGTTTCTTCTTTGATCGTTCTTTGGTTTCGCGTCTCCAGCTATGCGAGCGAGAATTGGAGCATCATGAAGGCAAGCGAGAGAGCTCTATTCTTTATCGACAGAACAAAGCTTTGCTCTTTCAGCTCTAGAGAGAGCGCTCTGTTACTTCTCAATGCAAGCATACACAACAAGCAGGACATGGATAATTTTTTCTATTTTATTGTTATTATTTTTCTTTTGCCCTTTTGCTCATCATCGTGGAAAAGCAAACCCCCCCGAACACGCAATTCTTCTTCTCTTCCGAAACTAGACCAAACTCACCTCCCAATTTCTTTGACTTCCTCGGATCCACACCTCCTAGTAAAAGCAAGCTCTTCTTCCGGTTTTCAATCCTACAGTCGTGATTTTTCGCTCGTTTCATTTTGTTTGCAGCTGTATATGATTCTTCTGGAATCATAGTTGAACGCTGTAAACAACAGAGATGGATTTTTTTTTTCTGAGAGAGAGTTTTACCCGACTTTAATGTCGTTTTGCTCACTTTGACACGTTGGGCGAAGAATTTTCCATATTGAATCTCAATTTTTTTTTATAATAACCTACGTCAGAGTCATAGTTTAATTTGAAATGCCGCGTAGGACGAGTCATTGGAATTTGTTGCTGCATGCACTTAAGTGATTGTTTTTCCTCCAATGTGACACTAAAGTGATCGATCGAAAAGTTTTAGTAATAAAGTAAACGTCATATGAAAGTTATGACACTTCTAGTGTCCTTTTCTCATACAATACAAATTGTAAGCTCTGAACAAATTTTCTAAAGGGCATGTCAACTCCCTCATGACACTAGTCGCTATAATATTGGCTACATATGAGATTAGACTTATTGATAGGCCTTGCATTGGGCTGTCTAGATCGAAAGGGCAATGCGTGTGGCTTGAGAATTTGCTCTACATTGAAAGGCACATCTAGCTAGAGTTAATCTGTGGCATGTCTATTTCAATGTCCAAGTTATTTTGTTTCAATGTCCAAGCACATAATCAAGATTCACTTGTGGTGATATTGACACCGTCATGTGGCATTAATAGGGGTTTAAAACTGGCGAACGAGAAAGGAGAGGGCACAAGTGAAGGAGAGTGGCCTGTTCCATTTGTTTCATCTCGTGCACGGCGACAATTTTACCACATTTATTCAACATAAGAAGGATTTAAGAAAATCAGCTAATGTCAAAAGAGCTAACTAAATGGTTTAAGCGTTTAATTTGGATTTCACGATTCCCGTGTTCGAATCAAGGCATCTCTAATCACCACGGGGACAATGTGCATCATCTTACAATCGGAGATTTACAAGATGGATGTGGATAGAGCGATTTATTCACACCTGTATACATTAGTTGAGCCGAATTGTTCAGATTCCCTTATGAAAACAAAAAACGAAATAGTTTATGATACTTCTCAGAAATCAGAATAACCTTTAATACATCCATCCATCTTTTAGAAAAGCTGCTTCTGAAACATTAATATAAAGTTTTGCTAGTTCCATCAACAAACTCCAACAGCTCCTTTAACATCAGTCAATGAAGACAAACATCAATTCAGTTTCTACCCAACCCTTCCTTTTTAAGGGGGGAAGTGGGGGACGTTGTGTGAAACAAAATAACAAAGAGGGAGGTGTCACGTGAGGAGGGCGCGGGCTCACGTGCTGGCGGAGGCCCGGCCTGCATTTATTCATGCAAAACGTCTTACAGTGCCATGATGAACAATGACTGTTTGTTTCTTGTGGGAGGGATGTTTTCCTGTTTCTGTCCAAATGCTTGTGTTGTGTATGTGTGGCCCGAAGTTTGAAGCAACGTGATTGGGTCAGAGTCAGTTCTCTCTCCTCTCTTTCCTCTCTCTCATCTGAACAGGAGCTTGATTAGCAAGTGTTTGGCTCAACCTTCCCTGCTGACCTACTGTGGGTGGGGGGGGGGGGGGGTCAATTGAAAAAGGAAGGAGAAAAAAACCCACAAAGCCAAGAAAGCTCTCAGAAAGAAAAAGGCTCAAAAGAAAGCTGGTTTCAGAAAGCAAAGAGCTTTTTTCCTCACGTCCTCTCCCTCCCTCTTTCTCTCTCTCTCTCTCTGCCCATCATCAGGCTTTGTGTTTCGGTAAAGCTGAGTGAACCCACTATTCAACACAGCTCCACCACCACCACCACAAGAGCTCTGTGCTGGTGTGTGTGTGTGCGTGTGTGCGTGGGGAATTCCATAGATTTTTTTCTTCTCTCACACCAACACAAGCACAAATACACCGCTCATAAATATAAGCTGAGACCCTCCCATATGTTCCATAACCCTCCTCCTAACTCTCCTCCTTCCAACGCTGCTTCTGCCATCAGCCCCTCAGAGATCAATGCCTTCTCCAACAGCAAAAGAAGGAGAAGACCTGCAGGCACTCCAGGTAAAAGGAGAAGACAACAACGAGAAAAAAAGATCGACCCGAATTTATCACGAAAGCTCTCTCTTCTTTCTCTCATACACAGTTCCAAATCGAATTGAATACCCACTCAAACAATGATCTAGACCTAATCAAGAACTTCCCCTTTTCTCGATTCAACAGATCCAGATGCAGAAGTGGTTTCGCTGTCGCCGAAGACCCTCCTTGAGTCCGACAGGTTCAGAAGTTAAATAATATCCCCGGCCGCTCGCTTAGGCTTCGCCGTCTGTATATGATAGCTTAAGATTTTTGCAGGTATGTGTGCGAGATCTGCAATCAAGGGTTCCAGAGGGATCAGAACCTGCAGATGCACCGGAGGCGGCACAAGGTGCCGTGGAAGCTGCTGAAGCGGGACCGCGGGGCCGCCGATCAGGACCAGGCGCGGAGGAAGCGGGTCTACGTGTGCCCCGAGCCGAGCTGCCTCCACCATGACCCTTGCCACGCGCTCGGCGACCTCGTCGGGATCAAGAAGCACTTCCGCCGGAAGCACAGCAGCCACAAGCAGTGGGTCTGCGAGCGGTGCTCCAAGGGCTACGCCGTCCAGTCCGACTACAAGGCCCACCTCAAGACCTGCGGCACCCGGGGACATTCTTGTGACTGCGGCCGCGTCTTCTCCAGGTATAATTGATCTTCGATTTATTCTTGACTTGAATTTTTGTCGCTCTTCTTGTTTTCTTTCCAGATTTGAGAAGTTGTGATTGTAATCAATACACGAAATGTACTTTTCGACTATTTGTAACAGCTTGAGCAGATAAAAAGGCTGCGCTCCCCGGCAATCTTGCATGATGCTGTGTGGGGTTTATTTGTCATAAAACCCTAGGGTTATGTTCATGTAGAGGAGGCAAGCATGTTCGAAGCAATTTGGATAACCCTTTTGTTTTGTTTCTTTTCCCCCTTCAAGCTGCTTCTGGCCTATAAAAGCATTTGAACTTGCTGGGTTGTTTTCTGAAGTTATCATCATCATACATTGCTTTTCTTTTTGTTTAAACTGCAAGAGTTTATTATTAGTTATTCCGAATCCAAGAATGATTTCCCCGGTACAGTTGCCAGGCCAGCCTCGTGTTCCTACTTTTTCTGTTTTATTTTTATAAAGATTCTTAGCCAGCCATTTGACTCATAATGAGCAACCCCATCACTTTTTCCGATGGCATTTCTTTTTGGTTGATGACACGGCCTACTCTTTTATAATTGTTTTTTTTAAAAGACGCTCCCGTCTTGTTTCTGTTGTTTATTCCTCTAATTAATGTTGCAAACCTAGTCATCTGCGCAGTTTTTTATTGGCTTGTCTCTTGTTAACCCTGCATGAACAAGTCTTGATTGTTGTTTCTTGACATGGTTTGCTATAGACATCCAGACAAAGACAAAGCCGTATCTTAATTCGGTCTTATGATCTTCATCTTGTTTTGGTCCTTTCAGGGTAGAGAGTTTCATAGAACACCAAGACACGTGCACCGTCCGCCCAGCTCAGCCACCGGAGATGCAGGCGGCTCAGCCGGCCTGCTCGTCCCAAACCGCTTCTAGCACTAGCCCCTCGAGCGAAGCCAATTTCGGCGTACTGCCCTCACCGTTTCCCGGATTCCGAATGCCGAAACCAGCAGAGACCATCTTCCTCAACTCAGACATGTACAATCCCTCAACATCTTCTACCCACCACAACCTTGAGCTTCAGCTATCGTCGTCGTCGAGCCTGTGCGCGACGCAGAACTCAAACGAAAAGTTCGCGGACAACTTGAAGCTTTCGATTGGTTCGTCGTCCACCGATGCAAACAAGGACGAATTGGCCATCACCAAGAGCTCTACAACGTGGGAGCATTATTGCAGGCGCGAACCTGAGATGTCGGAGGCGGCGAGCATAAGGGAGTTTGCGAGCGAGCAGATAAAGCTGGCCATGACCGAGAAGGCGTTCGCCGAGGAGGCGAGGCAGCAGGCGAAGAGGCAGGTCGAGATAGCAGAGCTCGAGCTGGCCAACGCCAAGAAGATGAGACTGCAAGCTCAGACCGAGCTCGAACGAGCTCTGGTGTTGAGAGAACAAGCAACCAAGAAGATAAGCTCCACCATCATGCAGATCACTTGCCCGGCTTGCAAACAACAGTTCCAGACAACGTCTGTCATCGCGGCAGCATGCGACGAGACCTCTCTCGCCATAAGCTACGTGTCTTCAGCTACCACAGAAGGAGAGGGAGAGTGATTATTGCGTTAAAAGAGGTCGAGCAATAATTTAGATTTTTCTTTGAGCTCTAAATTATAATGGTTTTATTAAGTTTATTCTGGCTGAGAAGTCCCTCCTTATTTGTGCCTTCTCCTTCCTTTCCCCAACTAATTTCATTGTTCGTCCTCAATTAATATGCTCAGAGGCAGTGCCTGACCAATGTTGTAGTGTCTTCGTTGCTTTTGATGTTTTTCTTCTTGGAGTAATGCGAGATACAGACTAGTGTACAAAATTGATGTTCTAATTGGCCTGGACTGAAAGTGCGTACTTTGATACGTGGGCCAATATTCAATGCTTTGTAAAAATTTTATTGCTATGACTAATATTGAAGCGTGAACAACAAAACGACTGGAGTAAGAAAGAAATTGGAAAAGTAAACCTGAACACAACGGATTTATGTAGTTCATGGTGTATGTACTCCACAGGGAGAGATCGACGAGCTAGTTCCAATAGAATTGACAAATTTGATATTAAAATCGCTCAATACACTAACACATAAGTGTCTCCCGATTCTAAATTAACCTTGGACCCACAAGAATTAATCACAAAAAGTAGTTTTCTCACTCTTAACTCTCTTAAATGACGGCTCTCAATACTCTGTGTCTTTTGCAATTTTTGCATATAATTAAGCACACTCATTATGCAACCAAGATCAAACTCAACGACAGAATATTTATTTGCAAAAAACTATGAGTCCGTCTCGGACATGAACATAGACTTCAACTGCAATAAGAAAAGGACTTTGCTAAGAGGACGGTACCATTATTTATAATTAATAATGGTGCAATTCTGACCATATATATTTGTTGCACAAGTTCATGGCAACCGGTTGGACTTGTGGAGGAATTTAAATATTGATTTTATAAGATACACATACCTTATTTACTTTCACGATGGAAGCTAAAGAAAAAAATGAACAATGGCACCCGAATTTTTTTTGTTCGAATTGGTCATTCGTTAAAAAAAGTAAATGAAAATACTTATGTAGTCCACTGATGTGGTGCTGAAGTGGCACCTTGCGTGGCTTTCAAACTTCTTAACAAATATAAGACGTAACAAATGTAGAAAAAAGCAACCCCTGATCACTTGACCCGTGGTGGCGCTCAACAGAATTTCAATGATTTTTACTCACTTGGGAAATTGGATCAGACAGGTAACTGTAACTATTCTCAAAATATGATTTGCAATCACGGAAGAAGTGGGTGTATTCAATTGTTACTAGTACTTATTATTATTTTGTTTTGAAGAAAAATACTTTACTATAAATTGACTTCTAATCCATTAAAAATATGACGTAGGGTCGGGTGTCACGTGGTCGTGTGAATTTTCTCAATAAACCAAATAATGGAGCTATATCAGGTAAAATTTGTATAGTATTTTATTGAATTATTTTTGTTTTTAACTTTAGCCTTGACTCATGCGACCCTAAAATTGATCTTGTAATTTTTTTGGTCCTGGCCCATCTTCATCTATGAGACTTGAATGAACAAGGTAATTTTTTTGTTACTAATTCATTATTTTTATTTTGATCTTTTCTTTATTTAATATGTTATTATACATAACCGATATCACCGGTCTTATTTCTAGTCACTGGAGAGTCCTTCCAAAGCAACTTGATTTGAGCGAAAAGAATGGGCTGTTTGAATTCACAATGATTTCATTATTAGTCTCAAAGCCAATATTTCTTGTCTTTTTTCATCTTTGAACTTGAATGATCTTTCTAATGACATTAACTAATTTTTTTTTTGCTAGTGATAATATCGTTCTGCTTGCGATTATCTATATTTTGGTATTTAATTTATTCTAAGATTATCGTTTTTTTAATGTTATATTTTCTTTTCTCATATTATGGACTCTCACGGGATTTGAGGGAAACCAACCGACTAAGATTTTCCAATTTTAATTTTTTTCAAGGAAACCAGTTAAAGTTAACAGGTTTCCTTGAGAAAATTTGAGGTGGAGAACCCACCATTTGGATTTGGAATTTAACAGCGCCGTTACCTACTCTTTTCCCATAAGAAAAAGAAGTCTTGCTTAAAATTGATATCCCTTTTTGCATCATCCATTGCCTTGTTGGCAAGGGCCCAACTTGGACTTTCCTAACAGGGTCGGGTTTTCTTTCATCAATAAAATTATGGATTGGAATTCAAATCAATCGGAATTAACTTCCAGCCAAAATCAACAAAATTCCACCTTGGCGAGGAGTCATCTACATTGATCGTCGTCTCTCCTCTGAGATCCTTTGGGTGCCTCAACCGTTGGAGACGCTGACAAGTCCAAACAATACATGAACTTGGTCAATGAGATAGGCTTCGTTAACATGTCCCATGAATGATCTACCCTGTGTACTTTCTCGACGTATGAGGTTCCCTGTGATACGATATCACGTATAAAATATTACCTAACGTAAATGTGTTTCGTCTGCTCGTAATACATATGATTTTTGCTTTAAATGTAATGCATCATGATCATAGCAATCTTCTCTTGCTATAATCCAAAATCACTGCGCAAATCTCTAAACTAGCTTACTTGATTGCCTCGATTGATGCCATATACTCCATTTCAGTTATCGATAAAGCAATTATAAGCTGACATTACGCTTTCTGAGTGACGGCATAATCTGCAAAACTGAATATATAACCTGTCAAGGACTTTCTCCCATCCAAGTCACCGCCAAAATCTAAATTCACATAACCTGTTATACCTCTTTGAGTATGTCTCTTCTTAGAAGTCAAATCGACGTTAGCTGTCCTTCTTAGAAGCTTCATAACCCATTTTACAGCTACCTAGTGTTTCTTTTCAAGATACACATATACTTGTGCACAACATTAATAACATGCGAAATATAAGGGGAAAAGTGCCGGGAAAGTTATAAATCTATTGTATTGGTGTTAATTTAGTCTTAAACCTTTTAATTATGCCAATTTAGTACTAAACCTTTTGATATAGTGTAATTCAATCCTTCCGGCTAATTTTGGCCGGATATAACTAACGTGGACCCTGGCTGGCCTACGTGGCATGACCAGCGCTGACGTGGATATTTTTTTAAATAATATTTTAATGATTTCAAAAAAAATTATTTGTTTTTTTTCTTTCTCCTCTTTTTGGTGGCCGGCGAGGCCACCCTTGCCAAATCTCAGTCTTTAAGCTATCTTGTTTTCGATTTTGGAAAGCATGGTCATGGCAAGCGATTTGGAGAAACCCTGGCACAAATCGAGCAATTTCATCCCCTACCCATCACAGATCAAATTCGGAGCATCAAAGACAAGCTAAAAAAAAAACCGACGAAAAAAGATTCTTTTACCTGCAAGATCGAGCTCATTTTGAATCAACTAACGAGTAGAGAGGTGCATGAGAAGGAATAGGGATGATCGGTTCCCGGTTCGGTTCCGGTTTGGTCCAATCGAATCGGTCACTTTTTTATTTTTTACCAGCACAACGAGAGAGAGTGACAAATCTCAATATATTGATGGAAACGATAATGAGTGAAGCTTCATTGTGGTGCGACGATAAGGGGAAAGCGTTGTACGTGAGCTTAGTTCACATTTTACTAATTTTTTGAAGAAAAAAATAAAAAAAGTATATGTAGTCAGTCTGGTTTATCTTGGAACCGGAAACCGGACCGCCCGGACACCGGTTCCACTTTTAGGAACCGGGAACAAGACCGACACTTTCGGGAACCGAACCAAACCGGCTAGTCCGGTCCGGTCCTGGTGGTCCGTTTTGCACACCCCTAAGAAGGAAGGCACGAAGTAATCCTCTAGATACCCTCCCTCTGCAAGAGTCCGAATGAGCTTGAGGGGGACGACCCGACAAGCAGCGAAAGAGAGAACGGAGGAGCAAGAAGAGTGGCGTGTATGTCATTTGGCAAGGCCAGATGATCTTCCCCCATGCTAAGTGCGAACCCTGTGTCTCGAGCAACACGCCACGAATTTAAATTATTTCTGCCAGTAAATTTCTCCAGCTCAATCTTCGTAGAAGCTATAGCGATAGGTGCAGGCCAGGAAAAATTCCTGGAACAATCCATCGACAATAACCTAAGGCTCTAATACTAGTCTATTTCATGGATCAACGAAACGTCTCGAATAAGAAATAAATTGCAGAAATAAAACACGAACACGGGGGATTTTATGTAGTTCGGCAGTGTGCCTACTCCACCGGGAGAGATTGACGAAATGATTCCACTATAATTGGTAAATAAGATATTACAATTGTTTAATTATACTCACTCACAAGTGTTTCACATTCCTATTTTCAAAATCCAAATCCATAAGAAGCAATCGAAAGAAATGAATTTTCTCATAGCCTATACTCTCTAAGATGACGACTCTTAACGGTCCCTGCGTCTTTCGAATGTTTTTCACATATTAAGTGCACTCACTTAGTCCCAGACCAAAGTCGACAGTGGAATATTTTTATTAAAAAACTTTGTGTTCTTCTATGACGTCAAGTTGGACATCCAAATCAATAAATTAAAGGGAGTCTTATGGGAAATTAATATCCCTCTTTGCATCATCGGTGATCCCGTCGGCAATAGTTCAATTTGGACTTTTCTAATATGGCCTAGGTTTCCTTGCAATTTAATTATGGGTCGGATATCAAATTCATCGGGATTAACTTCGAACCGTGATCACCATCTATCGAATCACCTAATTTATCAACTTTATAAATAATCTTGTGCATGATATTTTTTAGTTTCGCGTTTATCTCTCCTGCCTTTGAATATCTGCATTTGCTTCCTGGGGACATGGTATTGTTGTGGCAAGTGCCTCATTGAATTTTGTGTAATGATATCCTTAGTTATGAGTGTCTGAAAGAGGCATCACCAAGCAATGCTTTGAACATGATGGCCCCGGAAAACTTATTCGTCTGAGAAATGTGCTTCCTATAGAAGATTGAATGAAAGGGACACCTACTGTCCATTGTTTTTTTTTTGTCCCAAACACATTCGTTTGAAATGCAGAAGCAAAGAACACACCTATAGCATTTTGAACTCAAGACTTCAATACCGGTAAGAATACATCAAACATTTCCTTCTATGCCAAAAAGCAAACTCGATCGCCATTGCTCTTG